TCGCTAATGCATATGATCTGGGCGTAGTATGTTCCGTTGATTAAAAACTTGGACTCTCGATCCGGAAGTTTATTCAGCCTAATTTCGGCAGTTTTCTCATTCACGATCAGCCAGTTGTCGTCGTCGCGGAATTTAACGTACCTAGAACAAGAAGGTTTTTTTCCCTGAGTGTTAGTCAGGCGCTCCAACTGCATGCGATGTGTGTTCGGACAAAAAGATGTCAGACCTCACGTTGGTGGCAGTCTGGTGCGTGTCGCTGTCAATGGCAGTGTAGGTGGTGATGACTGAATTGATGGAGATGGAGGTGTGATCCTCGGTCAGAGTCACCACTTTGACAGACGGCTGGAAGCGAGGACCCTCCTTCTGATTGATCACGTTGATCTTCACAGAGTACGACTTTGAGGTTATGGAAGTGGAGGTCGAGCTTCCGAAATCATACTTGGCCTTGTTCGAAACTACCACCCCCAAATTGAGGGACTTTATCTCCTCGTAGTCCAGCTCCTGCAATGGCAAAGCACAAGTACAGGGTTGATTTTTACAGTTTTTATCCATTTCTTTTCTGAACCGCTCATCCTGTTAAGGTCCTGGCTGAGTGGGAGTCTATCCTGGCAGACATTGAGTGAAAAGCTGGCTTCATCCTGGACTGGTGGCCAGTCAGACACACAGAAATGATAACCATTCACACTGTAACCAAGTGGGAATTGAACCCAGCCAGTGTGATTTGTTTTGAAATGCACATCTTTCAAATTGCTTACCTTTTGAATCATTATTATCCCCTGGTTGGTTTGAGCATCGGTGGTGATGCTAAAATAGCCCCCTTCGTTTCCTGAGATGATTTGAAAGACGGCCAGCCAGTTGTCCGTGTATTCCAGGTCCAAGTCGATGGCCTGGATCCTGAGCACTTCCACATTGACGGTGTTCTCCTCCACCCTGCCTTCATACTGCACACAACAGGAACCAGGAACTTCAAGTGCGCCCAAGGGATTGTTTCAAACCTATCGTGATGTTGTCTTGACGTACCGATTCTTTTTCCAGAGTGGGGATGTTGTCATTTATGTCCAGGATTTTGATCTCAATTTCCCCCAT